TGACTCTGTGACATCATACTGAAAAGCTCAGATGTATGTAGAAGATTGCCCATTACACTTTGGGCAGCACAATTAAGGTAAGGGGGAAAAAAAACTAGGAAATTTCTCAGCATGCACAAAGACATTTCAAAGATAGAAGTTATTGGTATGACCTGTGCATGCTTAGTGAAAGATCATTACAGATGAGACACCAAACATGAATTTGCACAAAATTTACACCTTATTTTGGAGAACATTTTAACTCTTATATGTAATTCAGCTGAGTAAAATAAATAAATAAATAAATAAATAAATAAATAAATAAATATCACTTAACTAAATGCACTGAAAACCTTAAAGCTATCCATTTAAAGGGGGAAAGAGTCCAAAATATTAAACGTAGATTATAAAAAGTTCTATTTAGATGGAAGCAATTCAAAAGAATCTGAAGGTTTGGACTATTGTTGATCGTGATAATAAAGTTACATAAATGTAAACTAGTGCTTCTCAAATGTTGGGTACCTACAGATTACTTTGGGTTTTATTAAAAAATATTTTTATTGCCCGGCCAGGCATGGCTCAGTGGTTGAACGTCAACCTAGGATCCAGGCGATCGGGGTTCGATTCCCGGTCCTGGCACATGCTCATGCTGTGGGCTGCAGCAGATCAATGACTCTCTCATCATTGATGTTTCTACCTACCTCTCTCCCTCTCCTTTCCTCTCTCTGAAATCAATAAAGATATATTTAAAAATAGATATATATTTTTATTGATTTAAGAGGGGGGTCGAGGGAGAGATAGTAACATCAGTGATGAGTCATTGATCTGCTGCCTCCTGCACGCCCCCTGGGGATCGAGCCGGACACCTGAGTATGTGCCTTGACCGGGAAGCGAATCTGGAGCTCCTGGATCCTAGGCCGATACTCAACTGCTGAGCCACACTGGCTGAGAAAAATGCAGTCAAGTAATGGGTCTAAAGATGATCAATCCTGGCCCCAGTCTAATTTGAAAGAATAATTTTACATTTTTAACTACCAGTAACTAGTCCATAGCTTATTTTAAAACTTTCTTTCACAAATATCCCAACAGAGATACATTCAGAGAATCTCAGAAGTTTCAGTGACAGCAAAATAATGCTGTCTACTGAGGACCCAAAAAGAAAAAAAATCTACTCAGGGTAAATTTTATTGGTAAATTACAAGTGGAAAGTAAATGGTGGGAGTAGATAAGGGAACTTATGGTCGAATTCACAGGGACAATCAAAAGGCATTTAAGAAACAGGTATAGAATAATTCTGGTAGGTATCCACAAGTGTCTTTCAGGATTTCAACACCAATCAAATTGAAGAGCTACACCCAGTGATTTAATAAGTTGATTGTACTCCAAGTACATATCAACTTAAGTGAACTAAAGAATTGGATCTACTAATTAGGACTTATTCCAAAATATTCAGCTTTCCCATGGCTCTAATTCCCACTGCTCAACCTTCCTGGGTAATTGTGATTTTCTCCTTTTTCTTAACTCCCATCCATAATATAAATTTCAAATAATTTATACATTTGGGATACTTTATAAATAAGCACTGTTCTTTTTTTTAAAGGCTTTACTTATTGATTTGAGAGAGGGAGAGAGAGGGTGAGAGAGACATTGATCTGTTGCTCCACTCATCCATGCATTCATTGGCTGACACTTGTATGCGCCCCGACCAGGGATCAAACCCACGACCTTGGTGCATGGGGATGACACTCCAATCAACTGAGCTACTTGGCCAGGGCAAGTACTCTGTTCTTAATTTTAAAATGTTGAGTTGAACATTTTGCATTAAAATTTTTTTTAATCAAGTTAAAATTTTCTATTAATGATGTAGTGAACTTCAGAGAAAAATTACACATACACACTAATATAGTCTCTCCATTCCTACAAATATTAATATAAATAAAAATCATAAAACGTACAAGGACTTAAAAAAAAATTCCCCTCCCCCCCCAAATAAAGTTGCACATTCTTAGTGTTGCTACGGCTATCAGCACTTGTTTTCCAGCTCTCTTCACTCTTCAAGTAGTATAAGAAACATACCATTTTCACTAGAAACATTAAAGCTCAAGTAACACAACAATTAAAGTTTTGATTTTGTAGTTTAGCTTTAAAGTTTCACACTACCCCCACCTCATCACCTTCTCTACATCCTTCAGCTTGAAAGAAAGTGTACAAACATGGGGATTGTTAAAACGTAAAAATTAAATCTATAATGTTATTTGAACTCAAAAAGTGTTGTAGTTTCTAAAATTGACAAGGTTCTTTTACTTTTTAATGCTTCCCCAAGTGCTTGTCAATTATATACAGTTGTGAGTAATGAATGGCATAAAACGCAGTTCCAAAGTCTTTAATTTTTATTTTTTAGGGACTATATTACATGTTAAAACATTACATGCTAGAGTAAAACAAACAAAAAATATAGGACCACTTTTTCCCACTTACTAGTCCTCAGCGGGAGCATTTGAGATCTTGCGCCCCAGCATGTCGTCAGTTTGGCTCAAATAAACCCTTATAAAAATTTAAAAAAGTCTTTAGCTTTGCCTAAAATTTTCATATAGCTGATGTTACCTCTTCTTAATCCATTCTGACCAGTCTCTTACCTTATGCACTCTTTGGAGAGTTCCTGTATGATCTCTATCCAGATCCACTCAGAACAGAGGCTGGGGTAGCGCAAGCTGCCGATGCCTCTGTGGTTAGTATAATAAATACCTTTCATCCAGCTTAGGAGAGAATTAAGGGGATGGATTAGTGAAAATTCCAGTTAACTAAGGGTTTAATTATGTACCTGCAAATAATGTATCCAGAATTCCCCTCCCTCACTTCCTCAATATCTTCAAGTTGATCAAAAGGGGCTGAGTTTAGAGTTATAAGCTACTTACCAAACTGCCTGATAGAAAACTTATCTTTTTCTACAAATTCTGAAAGAGTTAGAATAATAAATAATTTGGCTATCTCTTCAATAACTTCAGTTAAGTCGAATTTGCTTTCTTTTTCCACGAAGATTATACCGTCAAAGCAGTAGTGAGATTTTTTTGTAAGTGTAAATGGTGTGGTGTTACTATGAGCTGATTTTATTAGTTCTTGTTTAAGTTGTTAGATAAAAGTGTAACAAAACTTGGATTCCAAATTTCTGTTTCATATATGACATCTTTTACTATATTTTTCAATTGATATTTATCATTTGCACACTATATATAAATTGGAACATTAAAAATGTTTCAAGCCCTGGCTGGGTGACTCAGTTGGAGTGTCATTCCATACACCAAAAGGTTGTGGGTTCAATCCCCAGTAGGACATGTAGGGGAGGCAACCAATCAATGCTTCCCTCTCACATCAATGTTTCTCTTTCTCCCTTCCTTTCTCTAAATTCAATAAAAACATATCCTCAGGTGAGGATTTAAAAAAATTCAAATCATCTAATGTGTGTAAATGTACACTATATAAAGAAAAAAGACAATATTGAATGTCAACTATAATTGAAAATTTTTTAATTGTAAAAAAGAAAAAAGGAGAGGGAAGGAAGAGACAAAGAAAAGCCTTTTTCTTCTGTCTTTGCACAAGAAAACTTAAAAAATGTTTCTTTTTAAAAGAAATTGAGTTTTGCATTGAGATTTTCAAACGGAAAAATATGATCCAATGTTTTATGGGAAATCAGCCTGGCCAGCAGCACAGTTGGTTAGAGTGTCCTCCTGATACACCAAGGTTTCAGGTTCAGTCTCTGATCAGGGCACATACAAGAATCAACCAATGAATGCATAAACAAGTTGAACAACAAATCGATGTTTCTCTCTCTGTGTCTCTAAAATAAAATAATACATTTATGTTTTATGGGAAATCACTTGTTCTAATAAAAGATAAAATACTTTATGTGGCATATGAACCACAAGGTGGTGCTATAATTCCATGCTGGTAATAGTATTTTTGAAGTTAATTGATAGTTTTTCTTTTAAGCTCTTGGTTTTTATAACTTTTTTAATAATCGAAAATATAAAGCTAATTGGATTTATCCTAGAAATATTCACTTAAACTCTACTAAGTGCAAGGTTTTATGCTGACTTCAAAAGCTCATAATTTTAAAAGTCTAATGACTAAGCACATGTTGGAATACTAAAAATGCTTTCATAAAAGTTATTTCTACTTAGAATTTTAACTTAATGTTTCATATGTGATGTATCAAATTACACACACATGTAATATAAGCAGACGGATAAATAATACACAATCAGATGGGCTAAATAATAAAAAAGAAAAAAATACTCATTTTCCTCCCAAGTAATGGAATCAATTATCTTGAAGATTCCCTAGGACAATTATTACATTTTTATTTATAAAGTTAAAAGATAATAATTATTTATTTAGTAATTTAAAGTAAATTTCTTTTTCCTTCTGACTTAACTTTATCTAAGACTTTTTCTCTCTCCAGAAAAATACATTACTTCCCATCACTTAAAAACAAAACAAAAACACCTCACTGTATATCTTGTAACACTGGACGGCCACCATCTGCGTCTGTGCTGCTGGTCTTAAAACGTGTTACAGAACAGGGCACTAAAACCTCAATAGTGTTTCACTTCACAGTGAACTTTCCGGCCTGCTTCTAAATACGAGAGAATCATGCCCTTACTTCCCCAAGTGTTAACTGAAAATGTGTTGCTGCTTTTTCACTAAGCATGAAATCATTGTATTTTTGTTTTATTTAATTTTCAATGAGCATTTTCAACTTTTCGTTACGACATAGTCATCAGTACAGATGGCAAAATGCTACATACGACAGCCTCCTGGGTCCAATGTGCAAGTCCCAGTTGGAGTGTTTCCAACAGGATGTAAACTATGGTCCTGAAGCCTGTACTTTCAAAAACATATTACTTAGCACACTGCCAACAAATGTCAACACAAAAATACAGTGCTGTAATGACTTCACTCTGTAAAAGAAATGCACTGGCACCTACGTTTTCCTAGGAAAAGTAAAACAGACTAAAAGCATATAATCACAGCACAAGAATATTTAAGTATTTATTCAATATTGAATGAAAAAGCTCATATACCAAATGGAATTAAAATTCTGAAAAATGTTGCAGCATATTAAAATTTATAGAGAATTCTTAAAATTTACAACATGTACAGTAGCCAAAGTCCTGGGAAAGTTCAGGTAGGAAAATTCTATAGTGAGTGATTTGAGCCTTTTAGTAACTCTGCAGTCTCTTCAAACCTGAAAAGCAATAAATAATACATCAAGTAAATACATATAGTGAAGCATAGGTTTTAAGTTGCTAAAATATGTTTTTGAGCCTAAAATAAATTTCTCTTATTTAAAATATAGTTACTGTTAATAAATTAAGTACACTATGGCCAGAAGGGAGGAATAACAAGTAGAGTAAATTAGTAGTCTTTATTTCTGGGAGCATAAGTTATTTCACAGTACTTCTCAAATTTCAAGAAATATTACAGTTTTTTAAATAGTAGGCTGCCTAACAAATACAATTTCATATTTCCTTTTAACTGTTCTTTAGATAAAGTATCATTTGCAGTAATACCTTACCAATAACTTCCTGAAAAACACTAGCAATACTTGAACAATGCTTAAAATGTCTCCACACTACCCATCTATATATATTATTTATTATTTTGATAAATCAGTTATCAAAAATAGATAATCCTCTTGATTAACTATCAACCAAAAATATCTTTGCACTCTTTAATCTGCAATTAATTCCATTAACAATGTTTTACATCACTTGTTGGAAACCAAAACAGTGACTCATCTCACAAACACATAACTGTAGGTGGATTTATTATCCACTTGAGTCCTGAAGGAAATTCCACACCTGATCGAGAGGCCTTTAAGGTTTGAAACACACATGCACATTCGACATGTACTGTAATCCAACACAATTCCCTATAGAGGAATGAATTTCTGTTGCCCCTTTCTGTTACTTACATTTTTTTCATCCTTTCCATTTTCTGGATTGTTGTTTCCTTTAATTTAAAAAGCAACAAATTTAGGCAATTTCTCAAAGTACACCATCATCAAAAATGGACCATGAACATATAAAACACAGTCTAAAACACTGCATTAAGTGCTGTTTACTTATCACAAAGAATTTTTATGAGAGATTAAGATTTACACAGTTGCACTATTTTTCTTGCCAATGACATCTACAACTAAATCTAATGCTTGCTTGTTCTCCTGACTTTAGAAAGGAAATAGTCTAAGCAGTTGCCAGTTTTTCTTACCTCTGAAATATCTTTCAAGCCACAGTAATTAACAGTTGAGGTTCTGGGAGTTGAATCTATTGATACTGTATCATAAACGGAAGACAGAGGAATGCTTACTTTCCTCTCTTTGCCTTTTCTGTCTGTGGAGAAATCAATTTTTAGGTTATCTTTTCCTTTCACAGTGGAATCAAATATCTAAAAATTTTATGTATATATGAAAGAAAAATTAACATTTTAATATAAAGTGGTTACTGATATACAGATGAGTTTTTAATATTCTTCTAATATAAACACCTAGATGTTAAAAGTGGTCAATAATAATTACAAAGGCAATATTATCTTTATCATGATAGCAATCAATTGAATAAATAGGCAAGTTAATTTATTTTTAAATATAAGCTACTAAATCATGGCATATCCTCCCTACAATTGAATCAATTACAGATCATCATAGATAAGACATGCTCCTGTCAAATCAATCAACAGGCTTGAGGACCATTTGGCTGCTAAAACAAGGACAGAAAAAAAAAATAGACACCCCTTTAAACAGTTTTATTGTAAGCCTACACAGGCAGCATCAATTAGGGAACAAAGTATTACCACATGAGGACTGAAACAACTAAAAAGACTTTTACTTTCACCTCTCATACAGCCAGTGTGTTTGTCTACTTCTCTTGCCTATTTGCTCCGTCCCCTGCTCACTCATCAGTATGCCCAGCCCAGCCTCGACATCATCTGATGTATTATCCCTGGTGTCCTAATTCCAAATTTCCAAGGGACACAAAACGTTTCGGCTCAACACCTTTTGCATTGGTATTCCTTGGATTAGGTGTCTACTCTTGATCCAATTATTTGAGCTCAGGGATGAAGATCACGTGTCACAGCTTGAAGACGAGCTACATCCCACTCTTCCGGCTATAGGCTGTTTACAGGTTACTTACTGACAAATGAATTTTCTTTTACATATATTATTTACATATGCAAAGCTGCTACTGAAGTTTAAGTTAGAAACTTGGTGATCCATTTATATTATTCTACAGCACTTAGCAATTAAAAGGGTAAAACATCTCTAAAAGTATGCAATTTTGTACACTAGAATTTATTCAACCACTATGTCATGTAAGATATGTAAGCTAGTTTTAGCAATCCTTGGCTTCAGTAGTCTGTAAGTTTACTATTTCCTTTGTTCCTAGGAGCTTTGTAGTTTCTAAAATATAAAGCTTGGCCCGGCAGGGCGTGGCTCAGCGGTTGAGTGTCGACCTACGATCCAGGCGATCGGGGTTCGATTCCCGGTCAGGGCACATGCCCGGTTGCAGGCTCAATCAATGACTCTCTCGTCATTGATGTTTCTATCTCTCTCTCCTTCTCCTTCCCTCTCTCTGAAATCAATAAAGATATATTTTTTAAAAGTAAAATAAAATATAAAGCTTGGGAATATTAAAATTACCAAATACGTATGAAAATTATTTTTGTAAACTCCTAACTATACCACCAATACTAATACCATAAGAACTTACCAAGTTTCAGACCATCCATGCCAATACCAGAGGTATAGTCTTCACTTTTTGCATAATAGTCTGTATATTCATCATTCTGGAATAATATAGTTTAGTATTTGAAATGAAATGAAAAATGTTCTTATTTTATTATTACCGTTAAGCATAAAATATAAAGATGACATGATAAATGTTTAAATATATTTAAATATTTTATTTATAAAGCAATAGATAAATATTCCTATCTATAAGAAATCTTTTAAATGTTGGACTCACTAACCTTCTTGAATTTACTAACTTTACTTTTTAGGAAGGAAAGATAGAGTAGGATCACAAATTAGAATCCTAAATATCAAGAAACAATGTCTCAGATTTGATAAGGCAATGGCAGATTTGGTAACTGTCTATAAAATTTACAATTTGATTAAAGTAAATGAGTGAGGAAAGGAAGTTCTAATTTTATTTGTTCCTGTCCTGCCAACTTCTTCTTCACCCTGCAAAACAGGCCACTTGTACTATTACAGGATATAAAATAATTTCAAGTTTTTCTTAAGCAAAAGCAAACATTATTTTACTTCATTTTAAATACTTCAAGTACTAGTAGCTCTAAAAGCTCAATTTATAGGTTTGTCAGATTATCTTATTTGATGAAGAGAAAAATAATCACCGCCACAACAGCAATAAAACAGGCCGTGTCTAAATGAGACTTCATTCCCACCAAGCATTTTCCTATTACCTAAATATTCTCTTATTTAGCATTTCCAAAGGAGTACACACAGTAACAAAAACCTCATTGTATCTGAGAAATCTTATAAATGCTACAGAAAGAAAATACCTTTTTGGACAAAAGCAATTCTGTTTCAAGAAGAGTGACACGACTTAGAAGATTGGTCCAGGTTTTTTCATCTACCATCACTTTTCCTTTCATTTTTTCTTCCAAAGAGTCTAATCTACTTTCTATCTGAGTCAGTTTCTTAAGCTTCTCTTGGCATTCAGTAAGCATAGTCCATAGTGCAGTCATCTCAGGATTAACTTTTATATCCTAAAATGATTGGAAAGATTAAAAATAATATTACACAAACTGAAATTCCTTCAAAAGTCAACAAATTTCCATTGTGTTATTTCAATAGTTACAATAGGCAATACAGCATGACAGCTGAGACTGCTACTTTTGGAGGCAGACTGCTTGGACACTTACATTAGCTCCTCTAAAATGTATGCCCTTGCGGCTTCAATTTCCTTATTAAAAAACACAACAGTTCCTACTTCATATGGTTCTTGTGAGGATTAAATAAGTTAATTTTCATAAGGTTCTTTAGAACAACACTGGGTAGTACAATAAAACTGTCACTAACAAGCTTCTTGTAACAACACCTAGCACAAAGCAAAGAGGAAATGACCAAGAGATGACAGTGCATCGAAACTGTGCAGTTTGCTATGAATAAGAAATAAGCCTAATGGCCATCTGGTAGTTTTTATAAACACCACTATACTGAGATGTATGGACGTCACAAGTCACGGAAGAAAGATAGAAAAGGGAGTTTTAGGAAAAGCAGTAAAGATTAGACACTATAACAGGGTCTGTGGCAATACAGTAATAAAAAATGTACTCTAGTTAACCAAAGAACTTATATGTATATATGCATAACGCATGGACACAGACAATAGTGCGGTGAAGGCCTGGGGGGTTGAGGGGGTCAATGGGGGAAAAAGGGGAGATATTTGTAATACTTTCAACATTAAAGATTTTATTTTTTTTTAAGAAGAAAGAAAAGGTACTCTAAGAGAGAAAAGAAAAGGACACCAAGGGCCCAAAAAGGAAAATGAAAAGGCAGTTTTTTCATTCATCAATGAATGTGCACAAAAACAGTGTACCAGTTTTTTCCATTCATCAATATAGGGACTAGGTGATAGAGAACTTTCACTGTACAAAGCAGTATATCTCTATATCTCATTAAACTAAATTCCTTGAAGATAAGGACCATCTCTTAATCATCTCTGCATTACCCATAACAACTAGCCTGGTACCGTAAACATAAGCAGTAAATATCTGTCAAGTTATAGTCAGTAAGGCTTACTGATTCTTAAGTAATAGTAACAAAGATAACATGTTGTGATTAATAATTCAACAGGCTAGAGATGCTCCAAAGTTTAGATGATGAAGTAATCGTGTACATCGAAGTAAGAAATATTGGCATGTGTTAGAGAAGTCTCAGATTCTTACTTGTTGCTCACACTTGATTTCAGGGACCTTTTCTTCAAGAATCTTTATTTTAGTATCTTTTAAGTCACACACAGCAAATACTTGATTCACATCTGTTACTGTACTTAACATATCGTCAGGAATGTTAACATCATCTTCATTGTAGAGGTGACGGATCACCAGAGCTTTCTTCTGCACAGAGAAAAATATGTCGGAGCTGTTCCAGTGTTTTCCTCACACAATTATCTTAAACATACAGTCACTTTGCAAAGGAACATCTTATCTTTGAGGTTTACAAAAGCTTAAAGTACCACATATATTTATCAAATATTAAGCTATTAATATTAGTATTTTATGTGTAATGACGAAATTGTGGTTATGATCTTTTAAATTATTCTTTTTTAAAAAAAATATATCTTTACTGATTTCAGAGAGAGGAAAGGAGAAGGAGATAAAGAGATAGAAACATCAATGATGAGAGAGTCACTGATCAGCCGCCTCCTGCACGCCCCCAACTGGGGATCAAGCCCGCAACCCGGGCATGTGCCCTGACCAGGAATCAAACCCTGATTGCCTGGATCCTAGGTAAACGCTCAACCATTGAGCCACACCCGGCCAGGCAAATCATTCTTATATATTAGAAAAAAATTGAGATATCTCTTCAATGATTCCTGAGATTTGTTTCAAATTGTTTCAGGTTTGGGGGAAAGATGCTGGGAAAGTTAACAAAGATGCAACAAGATTAGCAAGGAGTTGATGAGCTGCTGAAACTGGGAGCGAGGACTTTTGTAAATATTTGAAATGGTCCATAATAAAAAGGTGTTTTTTTGTTTTGTTTTTCATAATAAAAAGTTATTTTAAAAACAATTTCATCATAAATAATCAAGAACTAGCTCTGTGCATAGGACTCATTACAATTTTTAAAAATTAAACAAACCAGAAAATATCAGCCCTTCCTCTAACAATTCAAACTTAATAATGACAAAGGAAAAGCCCTGAGAGTAAAGAGTAGGCCAAACAATGCATTTATACAGGACTCATTCGGCCACAGGTGCTGAAAGCAGGTAAGGGCAGGGAAGATAACCCATCAGGGAAGAGAAGATATTTAAAACACTAACTCCAAACCAGATTATAGGCTTGGGACCTAGCAATCACTGGATACTTCACCTTTCTGATAGAGAAAGAAGAACCCAGGTGAATGAGTGACCATGACCTGTAACTAACGGTACGCTCTTTCTATGTTCCCGTGTTGCAGGAAGACTAGATACACAATGAGGAGTAACTGCTCATGAGCACAGGATACAACCTTCCTAAATCATTGCTACTGTACCTGGGAAACAAGCGGAAATGGTAATTAGAAATGTAAGGAGATGTAGAAATGTAAGGAGATGTAGTTATCCTCTCCTCATAACTTCTGGAAGACTCCCCACATCACATACGGCATGCACTGGTAACAAGTCCTTACGGTATCTCTAACTAGACTGTTTTACCAGCTGCTGGTTAAAAAAATGAACCTTGTACTTTGGATTAATTAGGTAACTCTTAATACTATGATATGAGCTCTGCATTTTCCAACCTTTCCTGAAGTCATAAACCTGCTAGTGATGTCAATGCCACCAGGCTCTGTACATGTCTTCTCACTGCTTGAAGAAGCTTCTGACTTAACAGAACTGACTTTCTTTCTTTGTTGTGATAGAGGCTAAAAAAAAAAGTACGAAGACATAAAAAACTTTGTGAAAGCATGATGTATATTTAAATTCTATTCTCTTTTTAATTTTTATACATGGACTATAACCATCAAATAATGAGTCTATGAAACTACATGACTTTTGAAAACTAAGAAGTGACAAAAATGCACTGTTTAAACAGTTAGTTTAGGACTACTAGCTCCAAGTTACAAATGTGTAAATACAAGTAACTAGTATGTAAAGCAAACACCAGGTATTATAAGGTTACACAAATCTGTGAATAATGCAGTAATTATACTATGTATTAATTAGTTGTCTTGGGTATTGATTTTATACATTAAAATACTGGCCACTTAGCATAAGTTAAAATCTATTAAGAAAATTACCTTCTCAAGGCAACTCAACTCCTTGTGCTTTCTCATCACACAATTCAAAATATCACAGATAATTTGGATTTTCCATTCTGCAAATCCACATTGGAGAAACTGCTTTTTTGTCAAGATTGGTTTATAATTAAATTGATCACGAAGAAGCTATAAAGAGGGAATAGGTCAACAAAAAAAATCGGAACAATCTCTTTCTTTCTTTCCCTTCCTTCCTTTCCTCCCTCCCTCC